TGAGGGTGGATGCCAAGACTACATTTTGCATAGACGAAAACACTGTAATAGGGGCATAATTTTTTTTTTTTTTATATATATATATATATAGGAGAGTCATTTCGCACAAATATTAGTCAGTATTTGGACTGGCGAAGCGAACAACTTATCCATAAGTTTTCCAAAGTTTTTATCACAAGAGAGTTCGTAAGTAGTAGTAGTTGTTGTTGTTGTTGTTGCTTTTGTCAGCACTGGAGCCGCTGTCTCTGTTGTTGTCTTTCAGTCTAAGCTCAAGCATCGCTCGTTTCGTGTAGCCTGAAGAAAATTTGGTGGTGAAACGCCGGCATTACCACTAGCAAGACAATGAGCCTGTAAATAGGTCGACCATGACAGAAGTCAGGTACTTATAAAACGATTTGATGTGGATAAAAAAAGAATAGGTCGCTCAGATAGGTTAGCCACGATTGCCGACTCGCATGGGTGATGGGGAAGGCGGTGGTGGCAACTCCACCAGAGTCTACATCGACGTCGGCCGATATGGCCTGGCCCCGTGACAGCTAGAAGCAGCGAAACAGGAACATCGTTATCGGACAAAATCGCCAATAATCGAAGTTAGCAGAAAGTTGCGAAGACGACCAAAACGCCAACCAAAGCTTCAGTCTAGCTTGCTAGTAAAGCCAGTCTCCTTATCTGCCTGCTGACTAGCAAAGGCGATTGGAATCAACTAGAAATCAGTTTAACATTGGTCTGTCGTCGCCGGTTTCAACATAAGCGCATGCTCGTTATCTCAGCCAATACTTTCTAACTAGCCCGCATATTTTCTTTATCAGAAATGCACATACACACACACACACACACACACACACACACACACACACACACATACATCATTTCCGTCGTGAACACAGAAAAACTCGTTGACAACCAAGCTAGGCGTCGGCTGGTTTGCTACTGTTCCCCCATGACTATTCAAACATAGCATCTGAAAAGGGGGTACGGGAAACCCCGTCTAGCGGGTTAACCATCATACATAGATGGACACCATCATTTGTTGAGACCAGCCATAGAGGATCGTGGGAGGTACGTTGTGTAGAACGGATATAATGCATGACATGAAACGACAGCGCCGAATAGATGAACATAGCGATAGAAGAAATACGTCCAGAAATGGATCTTAGGTAATACGTCTTGTGGAATGGGCAAAATATAATTGGGGTGTATGTAGGTTTGTATCAGCTTTACCTGCACCAAATATAGTAATAATGACGAGTGCAATACGCACCGATTTCAACTCCGACAGATGTTTCTCTTACAAAGACAAATGTGCATTCAAAGCTGACATAAGCTATTATTTTCTAGCGTTGTGACTGCTACCTGCAGTTCGTAGCGATTTTACTATATATATATATATACATACATATATACGCGCGCAATAGCGTTACCAATATTTAACGCAGACATTTAGAAAATGGCCATATTTAATAATCGGCTTTAATTATTAGCTATACAGATATCTGTTTAGCTAAGAAAATCGGTCCGCGCCGTATATTAACGCATGCTGAAAAACACGTCTCGACATCGTTATCACCGTGATTGCCATAGGGGAAAGTCAGAAACGAGTACTTTGTTCTAGTTTTACGCTCAAGCACACGGAGGTACCATCGCTGGCACGAGGGTGACCGCCCTGCCGTGTAGTCGTCTGCCAATTCGACCGAAAATTTAGAGTTTTCTTCAGACAATAAGACGCCACCATTATCACTGCCGCGAATTGGACACCTTTGACAACAGCGGGTCTGTTTGGGCTATAGCGTGTGACGCGGTCACTGAACCACAAGACTCTATCCGTGAGTGAGACGTGTCGTCGGGGTAACATTTAGCACCGGCAGATTTAGCTAAGGTCTATCTATCTATCTGTGTATTTGACTGTGTGTCCTCTATGTGTGCAGTTTTTAATATTGGTCCATTTATTATACATCAACATGATGTTTTTCAAGACGTAATAGATACATTGCGATTGGCTGTTCGATACAGATTGAACAATTATAGTCCCGAATCAAACGAGAGAACGAATTTATTCATGGTGTGTCCAGGCCGCTAAATAGATATCTCCGTAGCTGACGCTATTGAGAACGAGTAGAAAGTGAAATGAAAAATCTCGCGCAATCGAAGGCTTGCGTCAAAAATTGTTGCAGTTAGTCGATACTGAACGGAGCGCTACTCAAGGACGCATCGAGATGTCTCCCAGTTGATCTACTCTTCCGTAAATTCAGTCTTCTCTAACTACTAGAAATGAGCGCCATTCGGTTGAAAGAAGTGAATGGTGGTTGGTTCTTGTGAGGCCAACAAAAGCATCAAACCGATTCACCACGTATGCGTTGAAGATGATCTGCGATACCCCATAGAGTGTTGAAACCCATCGAGCCTTAACAAGCTGACATAAATAGAATTCTGTCATTCGTTTGATAAGCGGCGGAGATCGACGTGTACAGGACCTGTATCACAGCTTTCTCATTCGAGAGAGGGAAAATATCTCTCTCTCTCTCTCTCTCTCTCTCAGATAAATTGCGGACACGAATCATTTTTTCTAAGTGGCTTCAAAAAACTCTTGCAGTCATCACACTGACGAAAAGTCATTGCATCGATAAAGTATCATCAGACGCTTAACTTAAGCGATCGCTAGTCGCTTAGATAGATAAGCAAAATATACAAAGCACCCCTGAACAAGCGCAACTGTCTTAAAACAGAGAATATGTATATCGGTTGATTAATATCGGAATCGAGTTCTTTTGCGATACGGCCCATACACAGACATTCTGCAGCCATTGTTGGCAACTAATAATAGCTTCGATACAAACGCAGGAAACATAAGCTTGTGCCTACGATAACAAATAGTAACTAGTCCCTCTGCGGGAGCACAAAATAATTACCCAGAGTGCTCTCTGTAAGCGCCCTAAGAGATTGTTTCGAAACTTCTCGACAGAAGGTCAATTTATTTTCACTGCTAAGCTTAAATCTGTGATAACAGCTTGTTATTTTGTGATAAACTGTTTTGGTTGTAAGATTATCGAAGTGATCTATTTCAAAACAATTCAACCGTAATAGAAAATGACCAGCGAACCAAGTATACTGAACGTTATTATTTTTAATTAAATACTCTATAGAATGAATGTGTGCGCCACTTAGTGAAGGGTTTTCATTTAACGACCTGTTGTTACATGCCCAGTTCTCTGTATTACAGTCGTATGCGTTTTGGTAAGCAATAAAAAAAATCACAATGAACCTATGATCGAACGGTGCGAATCTCATCTCGAAAGGCGTTCGATTACGCGACGATGTACGTATTACGTACGCATACGTTCCCGAATAGTCGATTGAACAAGTTCATTGTTAGGCTAATTAGTTAAAGTTTTCGACATTTGTAAACTTAAATTAAAGGTTCCGTGAATTGTCTCTCCACAATCTGCTAGAAATATAAGTAAGAGCGATTTTTGGCGTTTTGAAAACATAGCGTTCTACTCGGATTTGTATAGCAAATCAGACGGTTATTTCAGCGTCACTCTTCACGACATTGTTTTATCTCTCAATGAAAAAACGGATATTAATTTTTGAAGCTTGAAAAGAAGATAAAGTTCCGATCGTTGCACAAAATATTGCAATGTTCTTATAGATGAAAGAAGGACCTTTAAATGAGATAGAAGTAGACGAACAGCGTAGAAACAAAGGAGCAAAGTAATATTTGGATAAAATCACCATTAAAAAAAGTAATGTCAGAAATGTTATTTTCAAAGTCGCCGTTATCTCGTAGTTCGTGCAAGAATTTGATTATGTTTTCTTGTGAACGTTCCTAGTATCATAGTGGTAATTTAGTGAAGTGTTAGGACAAATCTGACGTGAGTTAATAAACCAAAACGTTTCGGTGATTATTGAGCTATCCAACACGTTCGGCCACATGGAGGAACTTTTTACTAGCGACATTCGTCATTTCTGCTATTCAACAGACACAGTCCACTATATTCTTTCAGCTTCATGTCTGTTTCTTTTCAATGGTCTCATGGCAGCATTTATTATGGAAATGACCTAATCGTTCCCTCATCTATGTTATAAGTTGTATGGATCGACATAATTAGTAGCGAATAAGAAGCGAGCTTATGTGGGTGCTTGTTGCTGAATAATGCTCCGAGTGGCTAGGTTGAATCTTGTAGGCTGCCCTTTGTCAAACCACCTAAAGGTCTATAAACTTGCACCAACGGTATACGCCATATTCACATAAAGCTACAACTATTTCGAGAGAGTGCGATTCCAGACTGGAGACAATCTAGGAAAGCCAAGTTCCCCCGGGGCTCTGGCAAGCCAGAAGGTAGATCGACACTTGTTTATCGGTCCGAGCAACGACCAGTTTCAAATTGGCAAGTCAGTTCTTCTGGCTACGCCCTAGCGACCTGCGATGACGAACTATGCCAGAACTTTGTGGATGCTTGTTTTACGCAGGTCCTGGATGCACGCGAGTGGTAAATTGGGTTTTTTTGGTGAAAGCGAAAAGTCGCTCATCCCGAAACGATGCAGTCATCCGGACCTGCCAAGCTGGACCAGCGGACGTGAGCTCCGCCAGTGAATCCAACAGTGCAGCTCGCGCACTATCTCGCTCGTACTCAGTCCTATCAATCCTGACAGATTACGTTATCTGAGTTTCGACTCAGAGAGGTTGAAACCTCATGCCGTTAACTAGTTCCTTTGAATGTCTAACAGTGAATGCTGACAGGGAATGACGAAGCCAACAAAGTAAAGATATGGCCGTACGTCCGCCTGCACGACATTTTCGTTGTTTTTAAAGGTTTTTTAAATAACTGTACATAGAAGCGCAAAGGAAAACGTAAGCAATCCAGCACAGGCAAACAAAAATTAAGTTATTATAATAATAATAAAAGTAACCTGCGCCTCTAGCAGTGTTTCTGAGCAGGTGAGGTAGTAAGGCTAGTTAAGAGTTTATCTAACGCTCACTTATTACTTTACGTCGATTTCAGGTATCAAGCGATGCCCACACTGTAGCGTATTAATTGAACGCGAGGATGGATGTGCGCAAATGCTGTGCAAAAACTGTCGTCATGTTTTTTGCTGGTTTTGTCTCGCTTCACTCGACGACGATTTTCTACTACGTCATTACGACCATGGACCGTGCCGCCACAAACTTGGACATTCGAGAGCCTCCGTTATGTGGCACAGGACTCAGGTAGGACTCGGGAACGGAAGGCATTGCACTGTCTTATCTATTCAGTATACAGTCTGTACCAAATGTCTTCGCTAGAGGGGAGTGTCGTTATTAATCGTGATGTCGGTCAGCTGTTAGTTTTGCTTAGTTCAGGTTAGGTCAGCTTAGTTTTGGTACTGGATTTATTGCATGTGGAAGTAGTTTTGAGAATAATGTCTATATCCGTTACTGGCCACCAACGGATTTGTCATACCAATCAACTTTCTCTTGACTTTGAAAAATGATGCCAGCTAGCAAGATACCAAATTACAGAAGCAACTTTCTATACAAAATAAATGAACTTGTTTGAACGAACACGTTATGTCTAGCCACAATTTCTTCAAGCTGCCTAAACAAGTCAGAAGAACCCGCCACCGACATGTTCTACTGAAAGACGGAACAACAATATCATTTCCGAGCATTTTCAGCCTCGCGTCCAATAAGGGATAGAGAACTAACTGCGTTTAAATTGTGCAATTCCAGGTGCTCGGTATCTTCGCGGGGTTTGGTTTCCTGGTGCTGCTTGCCTCCCCGTTACTCATTTTGGCAGTACCTTGCATTCTGGGCGGGAAATGTGGGGCTCGCTGTGCAACCTGTGCCACTTCGGGTCAAGGTGACGCCGATGACACTGCGAATAAGCCACCTCCGCCACCTGCCGCTCTCTGAGGCAGCAGGCAGGTTGATCAGCTGTCGAAAGCACAGTTTCCATTGACATCGCTGTGACATCCTACAAGGACAATAATATCCCAATTGACAGCAAACAACGAACGAGAGGCGTAGTAGAACGTGAGAGACAAAAAAAAAAAAGTTTAATTTTTAAGTTAGAGATGTCGCGTTTTATTGCTCCGTGGAATCGACTGTAGAAACAACTTGACGACACCGTCTCTTTCCTCAGTTATAAAATCCACCACCTTTGACCGACTCAGAAACGGTTTCAATATTATATTTCTCCGAAAATTTCATAGGCGGAGTCGGTTCGTTAAGAGTTGTTAGGAAGTTTGTCTCAGTCAGCGAGAAAGTTACTCTACGCCAATAGCTGTTTGAATTTCCGTGATTCTCACTTGCTCCATGGTATGGTGTAGCTAGACTGTCTAAAATCGGTGAACAGTTTAGAGTTCTTCCTCGTTGTTATGCTGGGCCTTATGCGTACGACCTGCAGGAAATGTTTGATGGTGGGAGTTATCGAAAGGCGCCACAGCAGGTATCGACAAGCAGACAGATGTGGTCATTCCCAGTATCAATGGCGAAAAGTAGGAGCGAAAAAAAAGTTACTAAACGTAACACAGTAGTAGCTACAAGTAACATGCATAGGCAAAACTTGAAGGAGCCTCAAAAGTACTGGCAAAAGGATCGTATAAATAAGAGTTTGATGTCGTATCGGATGCAACAAGCTAACTAACAGCATTCGCCACCCAGATGAATCCGGAAACCAGAACGGTTCAGGACTTTGTAATCATCAACTTTTGCAGAAACGAAATACCTCGGGAGTTTACTCCCGCCCACCTCGCAAAGACATTGCTTGTTGGCCATCATGATAGGTTCAAAGATAACTTCACTACGAATTCATCTATTTATTACTACATGCTATCTAGGACAAAAGCGTCCAGATGAAGTTCACACCTTAAAACGAAAGCTTCAGGCGAAGTCGTGCCGCTAAAAGTGTTCGACAGTTAGCAGCTCCTAATGCTGTTAACTCTCAAATCCACGCCTTCAATGATCGTTTATTTTATATGCCCATAACTGGATTCAACCTCAGCCGCTATCATTGTCATCTGCCTATAAAAGTAAAACAAGCGTATCTACAGGTATACCGATCCACTCTATGAAACAGCCTCATTTTGGACTTCATCTGCATGAGCAGAGGGAACTTCACTAGGAGTTATACGTAAAGCAGCTACATCGAGACTTCATTGAATTGCTCAGATTTTCAGAAATGAAGTTTGTTCATCATCACTTCGGGCTTTCATGTCACTTACAGCTCGTCTTCCCTCTTTGTTTATCATTAGGTGAGAAAAAAAATTTCAACTTTCGAATAAAGTCGTCGATGCTACTACCCACTAAGGTTAGGCCCCATTCCGATGTCCTAGACACTATTATTGTATGCGATGCAAATATTTGCTGGCTTGCGAGAAAACGCTTTGTCAACCTCACAGCCCATCCTCTATAATGAAGGATTGTGTCGGTTGCGAATATATAATAATTCATAGATTAGGCTGGAGTATACTATGATACAGGGGATGCATTATACAAATAGCTGAGGCACAGAGCAACAAAACTTAGGACGACATCTCTTTTTAGATAAAGGTTAATGTCAAACTCCCGTTTACGGGTACAGGGTCTCTCACTTCCGGCTATTTTCAGCGGTAGCGTGGAGTTTAGGCCAGCTTTTTCTAACTACAATGTTACCCCCAGTAAATTAACTCTTTTTTTTGGCCCCGGAAGGCTAATTGAACAGACCCTTTAGGTTATAGTAAACAAAATGTATTGGGCAACACAACATTTCTATGCAACACTGGCCGGACTGCACCATTCTATATTTAGATTCCCATAAATTCTCTCTTGCGTCAACCAGTTGTTTTCAATAATACTTTACAGGTATCTGGCCTTAACTAGATGGGTAGCGTTTGTATGTTCTAATACCGTCCGCATACGTCATGATCTATATGTATTGTGGTAATAGTTGCAGCTCACGGCAATTGCTCTGTTTGAAAAATTTGTTTGATTTCCTGGATCCAGCTACCCTCTCATTTGCTATCATATGACGCACACATAACGGCGTACAATTATAACGGCTAAATGCAGTACGTCATATAACCTCTGCCTGTGAGAAGACATTTTGCATGTGTGTGTATGTCAACGTAGATTCTCAGATGCTTTGCTATCCGCCCACCAGCAACATTCTGGCTGGTTGTAGCGTGTTGTACAGAACAGATTATACAACAGATAAAGCAGAACCAGTAGAACAAGTAATCTTTAGAACATTGGCCGGTCTCTATATGTACCCTGCAATATCTCACGTAGGGAACTAGCCGTTACTCAGCGGTTGGCATTAGTCGAGTCATTAATACAATGCCCAAAAGGATCGATATGCTCGCATAAGGGTGCGATCTGGTGGTCAGTCCCAATCATTACGTATCGTAACGAAGGAAAGATAAGCCAATAGCGGTTAGAAGAGGTGGTAAAAGATAGACGGACAGATCAAGCAGTCTTTTTTAGATTGAAATCTGGACAAAATGAGAAAAATAATATTAAAGAAAGTGTAAGAAACAAGGGACAAACATGTACAATACACGTTGAAAGGGAAGGTACGCGAGATGTAGTTTCGAAAAAAATAACTGGTAATCAGATGAAAATAACAGGTTCGTTACGATAGGAACAAAATCAGACAAAAGGGAAAGAGTCGTTAAATTTTGTAAGGGTCATGTCCGGGACTATGCATATCACTCTAATTTACAAACTGAGCTAAAAGTAAGCACAAATTAAGAGATGCGAAACTGATGTATGAATCAATATTTGCCGCCGTTTGCATTGCCCTTGGCATTTCATCAATGAAAAGCACAATCGAGTTTACGCGAATATGACAAACCCAAACAAAGCTGACCCCTCTAGTTGGGAAAAGGGAACACCGATGAATTTCAACGGTATATGTAATATATGACCGCGAAAGACAAAGAGAGTTATACAATAATAATAATAAGATAACGATAGCCGAAATATATAATAGCTGCTTTTTTTGAGGGGTGGAAGGGCGGCAAAATGCTAAACGCGAGAAAATAAACGTAGAGCTACCCAGAAAGCTTGCCCTGCTAGCTTCTTATGAAAAAGGTGGCATGCAGAAAGCAGAGTTGAACGAGTGAGTTTTATACACAGTGGCTATTGTGGCTACCTTTTAATGGTTCTTTCGTCAAATATACATTATATACACATACAGTACAGATATGTAAAGCTAATTAATGATAAAAATTACCACATAAGCCAAGTTGTAGACTAGTGTAATGGAACGGACAAAGCTCGTGCTGGAAGTGATAAGACCGCAGAGAACTCACGAAACGGAATAACTAGCTTCATACACAATGGCGATAGGAAAGACACTACGAATCGCTGCGAGTGAAGAAGAATCAATATGAAGAAAAATGAAGATTAGCGAACTCGATATTAGCGTTTTCGGATGATTACACGATACCACCGTTAGACCCGTTTTCTATTTCATTCCGACTTGTTTCACAGACCTTGTCGCTTTCTAGCCGAAGACTCGATGCGATCAATACCACATTGCCATCCAGTACACAGTGCACAGAACGAGATTTCTCCCTTTTAACTGCAAAGATGTCGCGGTGCAGGGTATTTAGTTGTTGCGTACCGAACGAGAATAAAGGTTTGTCCCTTCCAAAGCACATTTTTCTACCGAGTCAAAGAAGAGCACAAACGGATACAGTTATATATGAACAATGAAATCCACCGCCATTTCCAATCTAGTTTGATCACAGTTCGTATCCAATGATGGATGGGGACGTTGACGATTCATCGGAAACCAAGCGTCTACCGTAATGTAAAATTTCTACGATTCAAATTGATGTGACGACTCCAATTCGGTAATACTGTAGATAATGATGATGATTTCTACTTGAGTAAAACGTTCTATATTTGAGTAATCTCGCTTCATTCCTTCATGTGCGGAACCGTCTGGAAGGGTATGGGACGACGGCGAGCCTGTACGAAGATGTGTGAATGAACGTAACGCTTTGAACACTTTTCGGCCGTGTTCTACTCCAGTCTTCAATGAAAGCGTACGAAACAGACTTACATGCTTGTGAAGCGTGATTTTTGTCACTAAACGAATATTAGTTTAGATATAGATCATGAAGATTACGACGACGACGACGACGACGACGGCGGCGGCGGCGGCGGCGGCGGCGGCGGTGGTGGTGATGATCATTGTGACGATGACCATAACTATGATAAAAATATAACATCTTCTTGTTTATAGCGTGTGCGCCCAATGCTTAGTGCAATTAGGATGTTATAATAGTAGGGGCTTAGCCAAGTGGTGCATACTATGAAATCATGCATCAACTACCATTATCAATAGTATTATACACAAAACATGAATGATAAAAATATATAAGCCGATATTTGTGTAACTCAACAGCTTTCAGGTGTTGTTTAGTTTTTTTTTTGTTGTTGTTGTTTATGCTTCTGCTATCGTTGTACTAGTAACAAGCTTAGCCGCGTTCGTTTTTTTATACGCTGTTGTAGTACGCTACAAAACTCTAAAATGTCAGTGGTTCCGCCTGTCTAGGAAAAGCATGGAAAAAAAAAAAAAGCGAGAAAGTGTAATATATAATAAAATGTGTATTTATCTACTGATAAATATATACAAACAATCTCACTACAGAATCGCGGTGATGTAAGGTTGGCATCTTCCCTAAACGCAAACGCGTAGTTGATTCTAATCACTGTTATTTCTGCCGGAATGTTACTATGATATGATGAGATAAAATTGATAACTCAGTGGGTTCCCCATTCAAGATGAACTAACGATTCCTTATATAGCCCCCTCGACCCCATGATAACTGCACGATCGCTAGACGTACGCATATGTTATGTCTTGCGCATTCCCCCAATTATTTGACTTTTTGTGTTCTTTCTGAATCTGAATACTTTCATTAGTGTTTCTATATCGTATTGTGTAGATCATCATTATTAGCGTTATGGGTTTTTAGTTCCGTCGAGGGGTGACAGCGACCCAAACGTTGGCGACAAAAGCATGTAAAACACCATAGAAGCAACCGTACATATTATAGATTGCATATTGGGTCTAATAATATGATGCGAAACCATAGAAAGGCAAGTGGCACAGTAAACCTAAAAGATTGTTATAGTGGATGCAACTGTGATTCAGATCATCTCAATGTAAATGAAATGCTAAAAAAATAGTATTAATAGTAAAATAAAATGACAGTAATAACAACAAATATTACATTGTTTCACCTAAAAACGTAATTGTGTTTTTATTCTATTGTAAAGTATTCAATTTATAGATTAATAGACACTGAATAGGGGGATAATGTATAATAATGTAAAATGTGTTTCTCTTCTCAGTTCGTCTACTTTTTTTCCGTACGATTAGTTTTCCTGAGTGTAAGCCTATTAAATTAAATTAAACAATAAGCGCTTGTTTCTTTCGCAATTTTTCGTTGTAAATTACAGGTAGTACGTATACTAGGTAGATACGGAGCAGAAATACGTATAGAAAATTAGCAAAATTAGGCTACTCGAATTTAGGAGTTTTAATTTTGCACAGAATTTTTTCGACAGCTGATAATACCAGGAACAGCATTGCCACCTGTTCTCGAAATATTCATGTTATTATAGTCATAACATACGAGCTCGTGATCCTCATTTTTAACCAATATTTCAAAAATTCTAAATTGTCAGAAGTAGGTTTTTTAATTTTCAAAATTTTTGGTGGCGGGCTCGTTACTGACGGCAAAATGGTAAAAGCTAAGGATATAGTGCTACAGGAAGTTTAATAAGAAAGTTTTGCAGGCTAAATTAGTTACTTCTCGATAAAAATCTGTTAAAAAAGTAATAATGCCAAAAAGATAACCCCAATAGTCGTTAAGTGTAGCTATAAAAAATATCGTGGTCCTACATATTTTTAAATACATCAAGTACTATGCCTTCGTTCCATGTCCCAGAGTCTACACATATTTACCAATTCAAAGCATATTTATCTTAATACATTTGTTTGTTAGACATAAGTAAGTATTTACTCTAAAAGCTAAGTACGAAAGCCACTTCAGTAATTCTAACCTTATAGCTAACAGCTATCGTTTCAGCCATTTACCAAAATGCACAAAAACGCCCTGGCATTCTCTCATGCAGCTTACGACATTAGACATAATGAAGTGTCGTTAAATAAAATATACGAGCTTCTCTTTGCTCCTTTTTGTTGGCAACTACAAGTTTATCGAGGTCTATAGCCACTGAGTGGCTTCGGTAGAACACATTACGCAGATCTTGAATGTCGCGATAATGTTTTTTTTTTTTCGTCTCATTGAAGGATTATCGAAATTTGTTTCCGTATGACCCCAGTACATTTTGAGAGTTGTCCTTGGCACCGGCATCATCATCATCACCAATTCGTAAGTGAAGTATCTCTAGCAGTGAGTTTCGACGATACTTCGCAAGGTGACTTCGACTAATAAAATTATTATTTTTATTACCTGGAGCCATTTCCACCCGCATTTTCCAAAATGAGGTGATGAATTTAATCAATATCATAACCAGTTCCGCATTATTTAAATTAGCAACTATGTATATTATATATAGGGAGCAGAAAAATATGGATATTTTAGTTATTAAATATTAACAGGGGCAAAGAGTGGGATTCGGACTTTCGATTTTGGATCGCCGAAAACAATTGACCGTTTAACCAAAATTGAAACAAAAACGTTTTGAAAATAATATCACTGAAATAATTAAGAGCCATTTTGATCGAAGAACCGAAATTTTTTCGGTAATCCTATAATCGCATCACCGTACAATTTTTGTGGTTTTCGGACAAAACATTATGACAAGTGATCTCTATTAAGATAGTTCTGCGAAGATAGAAAGTGATGATAGACTGGTAGTGTAAGATACGTGCTATACGGCGAATCCGTTAAAATTTCTGATTTCAGTTTTGCTCAATAGCTAAACGTGTAAACGGTCTGATACTGTACTATCGAAAAACAACGGTTTTTCTATTCAAAAGTTCCGTCCAATCTTTTCAGTCATTAAACGTAATGCAATAAATTAATCGTTAACAGTAGAGATCCGAATCAATCGTTCTATCAAGCGACAGAACCTCATAATGCACGATTCCTTCCCGATCATACCAAAAACACACTATCACTTCCTTGGACATCGCTTCAGGCTTCGTCACAAGTTCTAAGGGATGTTTTTCAACTTTCATTTTATTTGTGCATTATTATACCACTTCTCATCATCTGTGATCAGCCGCTTTACAAATGACCCAATTTCGTTGCGTTTCTGTAGAATTTCGGAGATGAAAATGAATTTTTGGCGTTAATGCGTGCAGCACCTAAGCATCGAACTTTTTTTTGTAGCCGATTTTCTTAAAACTGCTCAATAATAAATGTGTAACTCCTTGATGATAACTTTTGCGGTCAACTTCGTTTGTAATTGGTCGGTTTCGACGAGGTGCATCATTCGCATCGAAATTTTTAGACAGACCCATCCTTAGATCGTTTTTCTTGATAGCGCATTTTGACCATAAACAGTAAACATTTTTTGTAGGCCTAAAGATAGTTTTTTTTTCTTCGTCGTAATTAAACTGTGTAATATATCAATTTTTTACAGAAATTTCACTCATCTTCAAGACTGCCTACATTAAGTTTGAATAAAAACATTTAGCATAGTTACCATTGTTAAACATCAACTTTCAAATAACACAAATGCCGACCCGCGACTTATACTACTTAAGTTGGCTGACTTAAAGCCAACTAGAATGTTTTCGACAACTCATACGATCTATATATATGGGCTAATTTTCTAACACAGTCTCCCGCAATAGATCTTAGTGCCTGTCCTCTATCGTATGTATATAATATTACATCTTCCGCAGAATAATAACTGCATCTACTTACTTATCATAACCAAAAAAATACTTGCTTGTTCAGAAAGTATTTTTTTGGTAATGTTCTAATAATGCTGTCACAAAGTACGATTTACACGTAGATGGACATAGCCACGTATCTCTTTCAATCTAGTTTGAACTTCAAAGGTAGCGGCTTCCATGAAGCACACGCAGTCTGACGTGCCGGAAGCGCTAACGCACCTTATAAGCCCTTTTTAGACTGCAACGCTGTTTCTCTATTGCAATTGAAACGCCTAAAACAGGAAATCGACCCAAACTCCGATTGATATCGTCAAGTGCTCACCTCTGCGTCGCATGACGTGCCCTGCTCTCAACTCCTTTAAAGGGAAAATCTCCTTGTCAGTTAAGGGTGAAATCCATCGGCATATCACACATATGACACACGTTTGTAGGAAGTATTCTCGTCATTTCAGTCACCTTTCACATCTTAGCAGCTGCTCTAGACCCGATAAGTTAGAACGTTTGTTTGACCATGACCGTTGCAACAGATGGTAGTTTTTATTGGGTTCTTGCTATAGCGAATACGGCAAACAGCGAACGATCTGCTTCTTCAACTACTTGAATGTTGAAATGTCAACTTGAAGCTAGCGATTGACACAAGTCGGTTCTCGCTTGGAGGCCAACTATCTAGAACAATGATTTCGTGTGCAGACAAATTTCAGAATAGTTCCAGAAGCGTGAACGAGAAAATTCGCACGAATGGCCTGTGTTTGTTCGGCTTTCGGCGTTTCGCGTCCAGAATTTGCAATACGTCCATCTTGAGCAGCGTGACGAATTCAGCATACCATGGCCAGGTTGTTTTGATTAGCGTAAACCACAACACACATTATAGTGCATCACCGTTATCTAGACGCGACTGCTAGATATTACCTATTATATATCTATCTGGTGTTAACACCTAAAGGTGTGCTCGTTCGTGCCTTACCTTTCGTTGTTCCTTTTCTTCTTATTCATATGCTACCGCTGATGGAACTGCCGCGCCAAATAGCGTCTTATGCCGTCATAGCTGCTACGGGACGAGCAGCAAAAAGCCCTGGACATAGGAATATTTGTTTTTTTTTAGCTGTGATTACCGTTTTTCAACATGTACGAACTCCGTAGCTCAGCTAACAATGAGTGGCCCGAGTGATCGTCAGATGTCAGCACGCGCCCTGCCCCACGCAATCATTGTAAACACCACGCGCTGTCTATACGGAGTGAAAAGACTGTTTCCATTTGTAATTGAGCCCTAATTTACGATGCAATGACATCGCAAAGGCGACAAAATTTTTAGTTAAACTGCACATAATTTTATGAGGTATCTGTACATAACTCCAGCTATGACCCGGCAACGTTGATGTCGTTAATAGTGATTCTCATAGTAAGCGGAACTCCGTTTCGAGCATACAATCATAGTTAGTACTATAAAATCGAGTTCAATCTTGAAGGCAACGATAGTTCTGTTTCGTCGTTTTGTTTTTTGTTTGTTTAAGCATTTGAAGGTTCGTTTCGTCTAAGTGACGCGCGTATCGACCCATACCGTTCCAGTTTGCGAACGGTGTTGAAGACCTTGAACAACATAGTAGGAAAGGTACACATAGAATGACAATGCTGGTACGTCGGCCGTAGAACAGCCAATACGATTATATATAAACTGTACAGTGATATATATATATATATATACATATCTGTTTGCGTGTGTGTTGCTGGCTAACGGACGCCAGCGTATACACGTACCACAGACTGGATAACGAAGGAAGATAGGCGGCCGCGACCCGTCGACATGAAAAAAGCATGCATAATATCGACGGTTACTGAATGTTGTCATGGGTAGCTCTTACGATTTCACCATCACCAGAGTCGATTGTTCTGTTCTACTAGGGAAAAGTGTACTGAAACAGCGTACAGACGTCTCGCTTGACAACAGGACGCTCCGCTCTCGTAAATCCCCCAAACGTTGAATGCAATAAATACCAACTGAAATGTTTATTAAATTACGTTTAAAAACTATAAACTAACACTGTGTCTAATAAGATTTTCGAACTTAATGAACGGCTGGTCACTTGAATATGTAACATGTTTTTAGAGGGAAATGTCCGTCAAGCCAATACCGGCTTGATCCTTCCAGTGTGTCGCGTTGTTTTTCTGTAAACGGCGCTTTACCATTTCAAGATGTTGTTTTCTTCTTCAGTGGTGCTATGTATAGATAGCTAAATAGCTCATGTAGTAGGCAACTAATGCTATATCAGTGAACTACTACAGCTGATGAATTATTTTATAAGATCGATTGATTTTTTTAGTATCTGATGATAGAACAATTTAATTGCTCAAATATAAGTTCTAGGTCGTGAAGTGAAAGTCTATCGGTGCGACCTATCTACCTAGACATGATACTAGCTAAGGAGCTATACCATCATCGTTTTATCTCCTACAACGTCTACTAGTTACAAATTGAAGTAGAATACGATCTCAAGTAACTTTACAATCGATACAGTTTAGTGCTATTGGATAGGAACTTTCTGTAACAAGTTAGTAGTAGCAGGAAGTTGTATCCCAAGTTGAGAAAAAGCGCCGAACTTCGCAAGATACTCTATAACTTGATGTCTACCAAACACCATAAACATGTTTTGATTTCGCTATTCCTAAGCGTTAGTACTGGCTGTGTAGAATAACTTCACTACATGAATGATCTATGTAAAATAAAGAGTTCATTTAGATTTGACATTGATTTGACATATTTCATGATATCGTATATACTCATATCATTTTTTACAACTCAGTTTCAATATGCGTACCTCCCACTTGTATAGATCCAAGGTTGTTGTCACGTTTTGCCATAATTGCAATGGCTACCTCTGCCATCCTGCCATCGCAAGTCAAGTCCGTGTCTTTTTGAGTTTTAGTCATACGGTATGTGCTATATATCGTAGACGGTTTCTTAGCGGAATCGTTCTTCAGTACAACACCGCAGAAAAAAAAAAAAGTTTCTTCAAGTATTGCCTGATACGCGGCTTATGATTGCCTGGACACGTACTCAACGGACGTACCAAAGGTTTTCGCAGATCAGTGACAGCAAAAAATCTCAGGCATAGCTAGTGCTAGGAACGCCTGAAAAACAATAAAAAGAAAAAAAATTATAGATCTGGTAATGCGGTTAACTATTGCATTCAATCGAAACAGATTTCCCTAAGCAACCCGCTAAGACCCGCTATTCAATCTGGATAAGTTTTCTTTGCAGTGCCATTAACTGGTATACGTTTAGCTCCAAGGATCTCTTCTAAACATTAAACCTAAAACTTTGATCACCACCTATAGGTGGTAACAACCAATCTTCATTAGAAAATGGAAATGCTGGCTTCGCTACCCCTGTGCCCTAACGTTTCAACTACCCCTGTCATATTGTACGTTCCATTACAGTTGAATTAACATTACTATTACACCATAAAACCCCGCCACTGTAGGTATGAAAATGGATCTCTTATAAGACTTAAGCCATACGGTTAAGTTTCTCGGGGAAAAGCACATATACACCTGTTTCATGTCAATATTTTTAATGCAGCTCACTATGGGTCATTCAGTGGCTACGGTCTTAAATTAAAGCCACCTACTTCTACAATTAGAATTACTACTTTTCTATCAAAATATCGCAAGCATTTTTAAATGTAATATCCGATGCGTCATGTCAAAGAAAAAAAAACAAGAAGTGATATTGAAAACGAATAAACGTAATCGCACGTCAACCGTAGTGGCGAAAGTCATTTTGCTGATGCTTGGTTCAGCTCTGATGGCCTGGTTGTAGCCTGCGAATTTCACCGTAAATAATTATACCTGCGGTACCTTCTAAATGATTTTCGGCGTGGAGCCTGAAGCGGCAATTGGATCGATTGCAAGGATATCGCTTACCTTCAATATAAAAAGATTATAGTCAATTAAATAAGGGGTTTTCCAGTTTTATTATGACTTCTCAGTAAATCCTTCGATTTCCTTTTTCGCAGTTTTCATGATTATATTTCTCGCCTAAGGCGTTCTATGTCCCGCTAAGCGGTGACTGCCATTTCGAATCAAAGTCCGCAGAAACTTAACTTACTTAGGTGAACTTCGTTCGTGCCTTCGTCGTAGATTGTCACCAGCGTCGGGGGCCTCGCAGGGGAAGGCCCTCTAAAAACCGAGCCGCGCCGACTCGATGGACGGCTACCCCCCAGAGCAAACTGTGAGAGCCTGCGTGCGTACTGCTTGAAACTGTCGAGATGCACCAAGTTTTTCATGTGGAAATGGTGCGTTAAACCTGAAATGGGCGATGCGTGAGTGAAGCCCGATACGCTCGTGTTGTGGGGTCCCCCCTCCAAGTCGAGGTCCAACGAACCGCTGCTATGAGACGTCTCTTTGCGCCTAAACAACGAAACGTCAAGGGCGATTAAACAGAAAATAATACAAGTCAACAATTTCAATAAAACCAGCTTTGGCAGGCAACAAACTAGACCGCGACCGGGACTAGATCTAGATCTAGTTAAAGTTCAGTGATTTATCAAGTTATTTGAATTCTTAATGTCAGCAGCCCACGTTTAACCAACACGGATATATATCATTGTCATTAATTCAAACCACTGGCCACGGGTCGCTGATTCAAGCTTCACTATTCGTATACATCACACTATAGGTGTAATCCAACAAAAATAACAGCATCATCAATGACAAATCTTTGATGTGGCATTGATATGAGATGTCTAAGCAATAGCAACACTTCTAAATAGTTCTTCCAAATAAACAGTATTTGAACTCTAAGTGAATTTTAAAATAACTTCAGCTGTATCAATAGGTCAACTATAAAGCACAGTGAAAATTGTATCAATTTCTACTCATATAACTTAACACGCAAACGTAGTAACGTGTTTAAAAAATGGCTGTAAAAAATAATGGGTTTAGATCATATCACACTTCGTTCGACTTGCCCGCTATACATGATTGTTGCGCCTGTCTCAGGCGCTTTTTACCTCGCAATCATTGTCAGGTTGTTTAGGGCTATTTTCGTTGACAGAACAATTTCTGAAGCAGCGTGATAAAGATCCAGCAAAACAGCTTAGTTGCAGTTATGACACAAGTTACGTAAGGCATACCGCACGAGCTTCTGCCCTTTTTGTAAAATATTCATTTTCCCTTCAAAATCTCTAATTTACCACCTCTAATTTTTCTTATTCTATGTAAACTTTTACTTAATATTACTATTCGTGATAGTGGTTAGGTTCTGTTATAACATACGTAAGGTGTACTACATGAGCCTGAGTGCCTTAAAGCGAGGTTCATTCTCTCACCAAGCTCCGAAATTCTCCCTTCTCAGCCAGTTCGGGGATTACACTCAACATCTTACTTCGTGTTCGCGCTGAGGTACATACAAACAACTGAAATAGTAGATCGCCTGCCTAACGGCAAAGTACTTTCTAATCACTTATGGTGTGCAGCTGACGGGGCACGCAGCTATGTCGGTGGGGGATTTTGGAGGAATTAGTCTACGTGTGCCTGATTATGTGAATTCAGCTCTAAATGGTGAAAAAAGATGGCGCTTCTTCGCGCAAAAAGCAACGACGAAGAATGACAGAAATTCATATGACGACGAATTTTTTCCATACAGTTTGACCATATTTTGTTTGTAACACGTTGCGTCGGAGGTGACCGTGGCTACCGCTACGGCGTAATCCCAATTGGGCGGAACATACGTAGCGGGACGAGGTATTTTCTGGTCGCTACTCAGGGGAGCTGTACAAGATGACGGCCCTTGACGATAGAATCATTACTGTGTATTTATTATAAAAAAAAAATGTCTATATTTGTTGATTTCTTTGGCACGTCGAGTTTTCTCTGTGCATAAGCTCTGCCTATTTCTACCAAACAAACGCCTAATCAAGTAATTTCTAAAGGCTTATAACAAACGTCAAACCGACAATAAAATATGTACCAGCTAGCGATATATGTACGTCTGGGAAGGCCACGCAGGTCGTTATTTTTAGTAAAGTTTAAATATCCCAGCGAGCGGGGCATTGGTATGGCCTTTAAGTTGTTTATGTGTAAATGTCACCGTTTTGTTGTAATAGCAGTTTCATGTTAGTCTTGCCGCTAAAGAAGGCAAATTGAGCCGTATAAAAAATATTGTGCAAATTAGTTTCTCGTGTACGCGTACCTGCCTATTTTATTTGCAGGTTATTTAGTAAAGTCTAGCTTGCCAAGTGGGAATATGCACACTGATAACAAGAGGCAACTTAGGATACATGCACACATATACAGAACCATTTGAAATTTTCTTGTTAAACTTCTTACCTAATCACCACGTCGTTCTCATCGGAAGCAAAAAGCGCATACGGGATGATGATAATAGCAGTAATCCCGAATACGATAAAGATCGCTATTACTGAGACACGATGGCTGTCAAGGGCATCTGAAACATAACAGGATGAAAATCAACAAAACATCTTGCGCACCCCTTGACTTAAAATGAAAATATTAAGTGATATCACGGCACCAAACTCACATCTCTTTTTGACAAATCAATAATGCTAAGCTTCGCTTCGGCGCCATAAACAGAACCAGCACAATGTTACTGGCTTCCTTGGAAGAATTCTGGTTTATGCTGAATATTCCATTCACGATTCGCTTTAAGGAAAATTATTAGAGTCAAAAGGCATCTATCTATCTATATGACCTCCCTGTTTGTAACAGTTGGCGCTTTTAACAGAACCACATATATATCATCCGTTCCAATATAACCTAGGAAGACATTGAACATTTAGCAGGGGAAACAGGTAGTTTAGGGCTTAGCACAGTTGTCAACAAACAACTCCTGCATCCGCTGCCTTCGCACGCACCTCGTCTGTGTGTGGCTATAATCAGAAAATGCCTTTGCCACGCGCGTCTCAGGGCTACTCCTAAACGAAATTGGACCTTGTATAATATAAGAGCGCATTGTGAAGCTACAATGATACAGGTGGAAAAACAGCAAACAAGTATTCAAATGTTTTTCGTAGAAATCTAGATGTACTACAAGCATTCTGTTTACATTGAATTCAGCCCAGTCATCCGCAGGCTCATTCTGTCAGGCCGAGAGGCACGCGGTCTGTCTCGAAATTTTGCGTGACGTTGCATCTGTACAACGAACAACGCATCGCCGGACGAAGTTCAGTGTCTTGATGAAGTTTTCTGCATCGCCGACCGCTTCCGACAAAGTGACACCTAAGTCCACGTGTCCATTATCACAGCGGGATCAGCTATAACTTTTCAGCTGCAACAGTACTACAATCACGTTACTTGTAACAACGCTCTCCGTCCAGGCAACTTTTATACAGGCGCTGACCACTCTGCATGAGATCAGTTTCCCGATTAGTCTAGAACCAATGCGATTTGCATTATGGCAAGCCGTGTCGCCCTTGAGTAATGGTTTACGATAATCAGTGTCAAATTATTAATGTGGCGCAGTAAAGGCATCGGACGCGGTTGGATGCAATGTCTGATAAGAAACGTTCAGCGTGCAGAGCAGGCCTTAAAGACATAGAATACAAATGTGAAAGGTTCACAAATGCGTACAGAAAGAAGAAATCGTACTCACTACTTCGAACAGACCAGCCTCGGTCCAAAATTACCACTTGGGTTAGCTAATCTTATATAGGACTTGTAACGCTAGTAGACTCAGTAGGTGCGATGCGAGCTCGTTTCCAGTACTCTAATTATAGCCGAACACCTCATTGTGTTGTATAGTTGTTACTATATACGAATCGTATACAACTGAAGCAACTGACGCATATGTCCAATGCCGACGCTCGAATCACCGGCTTATCCAAGCGGGCCGTGGCGGAGGGCGATGCGATAACCGATTCGCGAGAAAACATTACGTTTATCTAGGGCCTACGCAACACTCCAATAATGATTCGGCTACATCACTTCTAGGAAAAAAAGCGTTCGCATATAATTGGCCTTAAGGATGTGGACAAAGTTCCTTAACGTTTCCTGCTGTGACTCGACTAGCGATCGTTAAACCATCAGATTATTGGACAACCTCTGATAAATGAAAAGCACCAAATGCTGTCTGGGTTAAATTAATGAAACCTTTGTTTTATACGTAGAAGCACCGATTACATTATTGCGGTTCGTCTATTCTACTCGAGCAAAACCGTTACTCCCGCTCCATATACTGAATGGACACAATTATAAAGACAATGTCGTTTCCATCAGTGGTAAACCGGGCTCCCAGATCTTGCTTTTCCATTCACTGACCATGACGTGGGCTGTCTGCGGTTACCAGTTCAAGTACATTCGCTCCCTGCAGACACAGTCTTCATTAATAGACTGTCAAGGCCAGTTCTTGCAGGGCCTCCTTCACGGAACAGTTTGTCGAAAATACCTAGACAAATGTTTCGAGTTTTTGCTGCCTTTAGGGCTCCCATTAGAGGGCTGGCTCCCAGCGCCTTCTAGTCCCGAGTCTACGCCCGGACTCGAAACCAGCACGTGTCTCTAAGTTTAGCAAGTAGTTACTGAGCTGTGACGGGGCCTATTGAGGCAACCTAATTCATTACTACTGCTATTGATGCAAAGTCAAGCCTACGACGTTGTACCATTTGTTCTCGGTTAGCGTAATCCTGATTTACGCTTTTTGCTGAACGTTCATGACGTACATTTTCGCCTGTCGCCTAACTACTTAAGTAATCTGAGTTTCGCCATAACATCTCGCAACAATTTACTCGTTTCAAACAAGTCAAACATAAAATTGTGTAGTTGCTCATTAAACATTATATCCTACAAATAATACTAAATGTCAGATAACGATACTCTTATTTGAATACTAACAGTGCATATAACCATCTATGTCACTGATGTTTACCATCTAAAATTGAATTTTACTAAAACAAAAAAAAAAACATGGTCTATTCTTTCCCAGATGCTTATTGGATGCTGATAAAAATATCATCCTTGGCTTTGATAGTAGGCATCCGTATTGATGGAATAGAGCTCGTGGCTAGCTACCAGCTCCACCTATTTATAATTTACCAATGGGAAAATTTGCACAAAAACCTCAATACTATAGCATTGACTCGTTTACATTTTTTTATGCAGCAAAAAAAAAAACGATCACCGAAATCGGATATGGGCCAAATTGTGCGAAAAATAGCTGTTGCAATCAGGAGTATGTACATCTAATTTACTAAGCGGAAAAGGGCTAAGTTGTATACCCTAACCTGCTCTGAAAATGTCTATACCATAGCGATCATGTACAGCGTACATATATATAGACAGATATTTTCGCTAATATATACTATCATTTACGTTACGCCCTCTATTCTGAATAGGAGCCGGATTAAGTATTCAGATATGTGCTCACCTTATGTTACCTCGTTATCAACGACGTAGAGGTCTGTTAAGTGGACATTGATGGTTTTTGTATAAGAAAGTCAATTGTTGAAAAGTTTTCGTACAGAGCAATTTTTAATATGACGACATGGGACAGTAACTAAACCGGGATGTAATCAAGGCTTATCATCATGTCAAGATCCGTTAAGAATTTGTTCATAGTTGGTAGCCCATGCAGATGGTCTGAGCTCAACGTCAATTAGAGGAAGCTGACAGAAAGCGGACGGACGGACGGACGGACGGAAATGTTTAAACTATTAAAAGTTTTCAAATCGCATGTGTACCTGCATATTGCCGTACGAGTATTACATGGTAAGTATCTGACTTCAACTAAATACCAGCCCACAAATCACGGCCCAAAATGATACCTAAAGTAATCGTCACGTGCCCCGTCGCTTTGGGTTATCAATACGCACACAGTTCTTTAATACGCGATAGTGACATCTACATATATTTACGATATATTTGCATCAACGATATATATATATATATATACACAATGTGGGTTTTATTCATTTTTGAAAAGTTTCATCAAAACATTAAGTCAGAATCAAGTGAAACCTGCACAATAGAAGAACCTCAGAGGCTTGTCATAGCCGATAAACGAAATTAGCACGAAAAAGTTTATCTTTTTTGGACTAAAGTTCACATAGGCTTACGATAATACATAGACGACTCCTAGTTCTTATACTTTAAATCAGAATATAATATACGATTATATATAGCTCTCTTCTGACATGGTTTATCAGCTACTGAAGTTGGCACTTTGGGTATCTGCATTTGTTGACTAATTAATTTTAAAGTCGCAAGTAAAATACTGTAAGTTGAGCTTACATTGTTGAAAGTTAATTGAAAAGTGACAATTAATATAGGATTGTCGAAATTTTATTTCTGCCTGGTACTTTATTTTGGCTCGTTGAATAGAAATCTGACGAGGGCCTATTGCTACGTAAGTATAGGCGACTAGAGGAACAGTACAAAAGCTGGCGTGATGAACCAGGCTGGCGAAAACAGTGTGTTAAACCACATTTAAAATACGCTTTTCCTAAGGATACAGGACCAACTATTTAGGGTGTGTAAAAACTAGGTGTATATATAGATGAACTGCTACTCAATGAGGGATGAAAAGATCTCGTTGCACGACATTCGTGTCACTTCCTTGGCAAGAATACCAGCCGAAAATATCTGTGGTTGTTTTGGCTAGTTGTGATAAGTGATAAAAATAGGGCTTTTTTCTTGGATAACTGTTGCGTTTCTTTACTTACGTACCTTATCAGTACTGTACAAGGGTATTTTGCTTGACACCCACTTCGGCCTTATTCCGATTTAGTTATTTTCAGTCCTTTAAGGACTCGCTGCCCGGGCCAGTCTTTTGTGTTTTTGACTAAAATACGAATTATAGCATTTGTAAATAAACAATTTGGCTTCCTGAATAGACGTAATGAGGCACACCTCAGTTGTTCCCATGGAAATTTTACTATTCTCTTTAGTTACTATGTTTGTGATGACTATGGCTAACCAGTATACCGTAAGATGGAGAGACATCTGAGGCTACAAGGCCGTACGTGATCACTTTACGGCCTCTGTAGTAGTAGTAAAGCGCAAAGAAACTTTAAAGCCAGAAACTATGAAACACTCGGTACATCCAAGAGTCGGCCGTGAACTAAACAACATTATTTTTATTATTATTTTCACAGCGTACGGCGTAGTTTTGCCAACGGCTCAGAGTTAATCATTGAGAAACGCATTTGTCTAATCAAGCTCACAAAACACCTTAGATATTTGGAAGTGCCCCACCATTGCGGTATTTTCATTTTAGTAGCGGCAGGATGTTGGTACTATTTTACTAAGCATAGAACTAGAGTGCCGAATTAACACAGATGTTAATAATTCTTCCAGACGACAAAAAAATGTTTTCTGATTTCAGCTAACTGGCTTTAAACTCTGTTAAGGGTACGAATTCTGTTCAATACGCTTGCGTACGGCTTGTGTACGATGCCTACCCTAATAAGAACCCTGTGCACCCTATATAAGGCTTATATCGGTATATAGATTGCAATGGCTGTTGTGGCTATAAAGATTGTCTATAATCGCGTTCAGGCTCTTCTCGCAAGATAATCTTGAGAACTTCGGGAATTGGCGGAGCTTTCTTACTGCAGTAATATCTCTCAAAAAGGTGCTTGCATTGAAAAGCTGCTACGGCTTTCAATCACCTAATGTAAGATTAGACTGCAGAAGTAGTCTGTTGTGAATAGAAGTAGCCTATAGTATTATGTAATGGCTTATATGTCTGATAAATGCCCTAAATTTATAAGTATACTTATTATAATCAAATGGAACCTGGAATACCAATGACTTAAATTTAGATTACCCTAACAAGCCAAGTGTAAATCCAGGAGGAAGAGGAGGTAATCCAGGAGGCAATGAAATTTGTGGAAATCTGGCACAGGCTGCTCACAGCTTGTGTACGTGATAAAAATTTGTTATTGAATAATAAAAAATACATCAAAGAACAGTTGTGTTTGCCGGCTCTCTCTCTCTCTCTCTCTCTCTCTCTTTTAATCTAAGTGGGACCGATTATCAAGGGCATCTATTCAGCTTTAGATGACGTTTATCAATGCAGATTGATTGTAAGGACCTTGGTAACTCATAACACTCGTAAAATATCAACAATAATACTTATAACGGCATCTATGATTACCATGAAAATCCTTCAATCGTCGTATTTTGTCGGTTATATCAAGCGAATGCTGACGTTTTGGCTTTTATATATACACTGTTAGGCGTGATATCGTAAGAGCAGTGTGTGGGATCGAGAACCATGGGATTTCCCTGCTCATATGTACAGGATAGTCTAAACTTACAAACTTATCCATCAAGTTGTTATTATAAATAATTGCTACTATTGGTCTTAATGTGGCCAGCACAATCAGTTAACATAGATAGTTAAATTCAAATCGATGCGAAAGCGTCACCTCGCGATCGTGTATATATTGTCGAGTAGTAGGGATTTCGACTGACGATCTGATTGACGAGGCAGGATAATCTAATTAACCGAAACAAACATGCACTTATAAAGGACGAGCTAATGACGTATAGTATACTGACCTACGACACATTCTGGTCCCCTTTCAATGCACACAGTTTCTTTACTCGAATTCCGAAGAACTTCTATTTCCTCCATTGCGTTCACAAACTCTCAATCATGTGACGGCCGCTCGTTTTCTAAGGGGGTCAAATCCTCGACAGAAACAACGATCTATTCTGTGATACAAGTCGTGTTTATTTGTATTATGTCCTATTTACCACAAAATAACCTGTAACGTTCACTGAACTGTTAATGAAAAAGTTCACCGTCGTATATCTACAACAGAGGGTTCTACGTTGCGTACACGTTCAACTGTAAGTTCGCACATATCCGCGTAAGCCTCATTTGGAACAGGGCGTCTGCATATGCAGCTTCTAGACTAGCGAGAAGGACGTCTGATATTTACACTGCCTTTAATATTCAATAGACTTTGTGTCTTTGCTGCGAGACAACAGCACATAACTGTATGCGTACTCGTACCGGTACAATACGCCACGGCCAGTCGCCTGCCAATTTTCACCAATCGAAGCCTAAGTATTTCGTCTGTTCGAAGAATGAAAGAGAAGAGTTCTAGTTTCAGGTAGTGCGGTGAGAGCTCTTGCCTTAAATCACCGCACCGCCTTAAGAACACAAAGCGTACGAGAAGCGACGTCATGGCCGGAGGCCGCCGTATGCCAAATCTGCTCGCCTAAAGATGAAGGGAACGTATTGCATATATTTACAAAAACATTAACTGTATATTTAAATGGCTACCTAGAACATATAATTTAGTCTACGTTAGCCGCATCGGCCTTTAAATAGACCCAAAATAAACCAACAGATGAAAAACATGGAACTCTAGATAACATTCTGAGGTGATTTTAGATTCGTCCACATCTCTGGATCCTGTCTGAAAAAACAGTAGCTGATTGATTTTTGATCTAGTTTTGTAGTATCTAAGGCCAGTAGATAGGTAGAAGCCTACCTGACCTTTACGTGTTCACCTGCGTTTTGTCTATAAGTGCCCATTCCCTGGTTTTCCCCATGGCTGAACGCCATCAAGGTGTTATAAATAGTCTATTCATCTAGTGACATATCTCTGCTTATTTTACCTTCAAGCTTTAATAATCTTCTTAATGGAAATAAAAAACATCCTCGTCGAAGCTCAGGGATTGCCTTTACGTGTGTATATGTATGATGTCCGGCGGATTACGTGAAACGATTTAGTTGTGGAATGACGATACGATGTGTGGGTCTACAAAAAAACGCTAATTTAACTAGCGAATATATTCAGTTACCTCCGTTCTCCGTTCTCAACAGTCACTGGGCGAACACGCAACTTGTATCTTTGTCTTTCCGTTGAACTTGACTTCATTGCGCTTTACATACGCATACCGTTTCCGAGAACCCTTTCGATTGTGCGTAGTTGTTCTGTCAAACTGTTGTATGATTCGAGCTAGTTGTATTTTTCAAAAACGATCACACATAGCGCTAACGACACGGTGTTAATGTTAATACCCGTTCTATTAACTTTACGTACATTGAATACGATGATACCACAACTAGACGAGCCAGATCATTCGACAAGAAATGTTGGAAGCTGACCAAAAGTCAGTTCGTTTGGCGCCACATTTCGAAATGCCTGCGTTGAGGTTTAGACAGACCTCGTACAATTCGGTCGTACCAATGTAGCTCTTCATCGACAAAACTTTCGCTATTATCGCTCGTGGATGCAAGGTACGAGCAATAGAACCGGATCAGATCGTCGCAATCTTTCACAATTTGTGGCAATTCACCTCTGAATTTTATTATTATTATCCCTTGTTAAATAGCTATAGATGAAGCATGGTTTCGGTACATTCGACACCGTCATCTGCTGTATAGTAGTGTACGCCGAGTCCACAATATGGACAAAGACGAATAGGCACTATCTTGGGCGATTTTTTTCCGAGAAGTAGACGCGACGGAGGAAAACACAAAATAGCATGAGAGAAAAAAGGTGCTATTCAAACACACGCACCCGCAAGCTTTGCTCTGTTCGGGCAACGCTCCACTATCGTTTGAAATTGTTCCATACGGAAACTGTAACAGAATTCTACTCGTATTCAACAAGAGGTTGCGTAAGACGCGCATACACCTTAAGCAGATGCGCGCACGTCTTTAGGATTTATACATAGTGCCTTGTGAAGCGCCGCTTTTTTGCGAATCCCAGCAATGCGCGGGTTCAGCCCGGCTGAAGAAAAGTAAAAAAAGGATAATTTAACGAACTTTATATATATATATATATATATATATATACACGCAGCTATAGCAATTAGCCTTGTTTTTGACCTAAACAGAGCCTTCAACGTCGAAGTCGGTTGCAACATGACGTACCGTTATCGTTGCGCTGCGCGAGCTTCTGTGAATAAGCTGCATTCGTGGGCGTTTCTACTTTGTTGCTACCCTTTTGTGCTTAGTGAGCCACGTGGTGAAATAATCTTACCATTAAATATGAAAGTGTGCTTATTTTTGATAATCAAAAATATCGGCCATTGATGTACAGGGTAATGAGGGTATGCATAAAGGTAATGTTTTAATATGGATGAAAATGCCCAAAGTTCGAAATGAATGTCGATAGTAAACTGTTATTGCCTTTATAATACGGATGTGTACAGCTCAGCTAAAAATAAAGTTGAGCCCATTTGATCAGTTGCAGTGCAAACATCCCATCGTGTACTCAATCAAATGTTTTGATGACTTTTTATCAGATTCATAAAATATTTTAGTAACCACGCCATACAGCCGTAGCTATTATATTGAATAACTTCGGTTTAGCTCTGCATAATTAATTCATAGGGAAAGCAGTGCACGCATTGCATTCGATCGAAGTTACTTCTCGCCGTTCGTGAGACAAGTGGGCACGTTCTTAAGTCTGTTTAATGAGCTGCAATGGCAGCAGATATGTACAATAAAGGCCGCAAACATAAACATATACCCTCATAAATGAGGGGTAAAAGTGTGGTGTTAAACTTCTTCAGAACCAGCTTGGACTAAAATATAACAGGTAATGAGGCCGGTTGCATATGCCAGTTTTTTCGTAGGTTACGCATGGACGATTTCTGTGTATGGGTTGAAAACAATTTTTCTAAATGGCCCAGATAAACTTACAGTTTGGTTGCTGAAGAAAGACTTTGTACAATGCGGAAGAAAGAGGTATTGTGGATGAATACCTTAGAACATATATATATATATATAGGCCAGGGGTTTTTGGGACAGGTTTTGCAGTGCGACATGGAGGTACCTCGAAACGGTCTATGAACTCTGTAGTTTCATTTTACCGATCCGCCTACATAATTAGAATTATATCATTGTAATCGTAAAGTATCGAAACTTTTCTTTTGTTTCCATAACATAGTACTTAGATCGTCGTAACGACGTCAAGACGTGTATATTGTTCATATGTTTTCCTTTCCAATACTGTATAACCAGATAGGCCGGTTATATGAGATAGTGCTATAAACTTCCTATTCTTCTTCTCAACATGACACCGTACCGCTGGCACAGCTTTAAATTCCCCTACGTGCTATCTATATATGCAGTTACGTAAGTGTTTGCAGCTATAGGGGGTGACTGTGCAGGCTGTGCCCGTCTACTTATACCAGAAGTAAGCAATGAAAATGTTTAGCAATAATAAACATATTCCTTACATCGACATCTACGGAACGTCTTGCACTTATTTGATATGGTCATTGAACTGGTCCGTTTTGTCGTAGAACCTAACGGTGAATAGGGGGACAGAAGGGGTCAAAATCGTACTGACGGCCAAGACATGTATGTTGACACTCACAATTCATATAGATACTTTACACAATATAGGTATTTTGATACATTTCTATAATACCATTGGTCCTTCGCTCCAGCGTACTAGTCACCATTCAAGTTGTTCTACCCCATTAGATCTAACTGGAAGAATACCATGATTACTGACCACGTTTGCCCCAGATATATGCAGCGGTTATTTCTGTAAAGTATGGCACCTGTAGCTTATTCTGTTTCACTCGGAAGATCGTTCTCTGCCCTTTACCGTCTACGAGCAGTTAAAGTGACAACACAATAGATACAAAACGTTAACTCCGCAACGGTAGTAAAAGCAAACTGTTCGCGCTGGTCGAATTTTACCGTACAGATCCGTCTCTGAAGGCGCCTCTGTTGTTGACGTCAACGGGGTGCGTCAAACAAATACCGCCATTAACTTTATGAATTCAAACTTAATCCGATAAGTTCTTCGCACCGGCTTCGAGTTTTGCTTTAGTTAAAACTTCATTCACAATTTTCTTTGTTCGACCGTTTGGCCTCTCTCCGCTATTCCAACCCTTCAACTCCTTTAACACTTCGAATCACCTCATACATTACCCTTCTGCTAACTAACGTTTAGCAGGTGACAATGATATTTGTAGTTTGACGGGACCGTCGCAGAAGCAGCTCTGGCAGCTGACTATCCCGGCCTTTAGGTTTCCTCCATCAGCTCATCGGCTGTGGACATTCGCAGCAGTTTCAGCAGTGGCAGCAACGGTGCTTACTGTAAGTCAACGGCGACCTCGCTAACAAAACGTTTCTTCTAATTCTTAACTTCTTAATTCTTTCGATTCTTCCTTTCGATGCGTTCAATGGAACAACGGCACTACCGCCGATATCTATTGCCAGCGACTCTGCGTCTGTTGGCCACGCCGAGCAACTCGGAGATGATATAATGTAGAAGTTATATAAGAAATATTAAAGGAATGCTAACGAGCGTTTATTTTGACGTATGTGTGCCGATCACAGCCGTATTTGCGCAATCGTTCCAAACGCCAAAGACAGTGTACGCCGTTCCGTCCGCCATCTCCACCTGCCGAAACGGCAGCCATTTCAACGCCGCCGCCGTCGCTGCGAAGTTGACAACGGGCTAAATAGGAACAGAACAACAGTCACTGGTGGACAGGTCTGTAGCGGTATCACCGTAGTAACGGGCATCACCATCTGAGGAAGATGCAGGAAGCAGGCGTTCGGGCCAACTGGCCAGCATCAAAACGGACCAATTGACGACGCGGAATCATATGCACAATGTGCGGATTGACCGTACGAGACAGGGATACCCAGACCGAAGCAGATGACCCAACTAAGCAGTATTGTTGCTTTCGACGCCGTGACACGATAATGGCTTTGGCAACGGTTCAAGTCAACGATAATGACAGAAGCTCTGTCACTTTCCTGTTGGTATGGCTATCATTCGTGCAAACATCACACTCTTCACCGTGGCCGTTATCATCAATCGTTAGTTGTTTGCTAAAGGAACGCGACGTTCTTTATCTATATGTGTGTACAAAGATGGACGAAGAACTACGACGATATCCATTTCGTCATCAAGCTGTTGTACATATGCAGCGTCATCATGCGAACGCTCTCAGAAGGACGAAAATGTTTTGCCACCAGATACCAACTACAGATAGTTTTTTTCGAAAGCTGACGGGAGAAAGAACAAGAAAACGG